TATAAAATTACAAAGCTTGAAAATATATTTATTTATTTATTTAAGAATGCCATATATTTGATCACTGAAGAGTTTTCGCTCATTACTAGTTCAAGGCTTCGGTTGGCTTGATTGTTGTTGTTAGGGGTGTACGTGAGTCGAGCTGACTTGTGAGCTCGGCTCGAGCTCGGCTCATAAGTGGCTCGTGAATTGAGCTCGATAGGCTAACAAGCGAAGCTCAAGGTAGGCCCGACTTGAATCGTTAGCTCGCGAGCAAGCTCTTTTTTTAAAAAAATTAATTAAAATATACTCAAAAAATATTAAATTTGAAAACTTTATCTTGAGAGTGGCTCGTGAATTGAGCTCGATAGGCTAACAAGCCAAGCTCAAGGTAGCCCCGACTTGAATCGTTAGCTCGTGAGACAGCTTGTTTTTTAAAAAAAATAATTAAAATATACTCAAAGTATATTAAATTTGAAAACTTTATCTTGAGTATTAAAAATAATATTTTATATTTTATATTAAATGATTACTTACTATTTGTCTCCTAATTGCTCATTCTATTTGTCATTTTAGTAAAACACTACTTTAAATTAATATTTTTCTCTCTTTTATAATAACACGAGCCGACTCGAAACTCATAGACTTAAGCTCAAGTTTGAGCTGCAACTTCATAAAATTAACCAAGCACAAGCCAAGAGTGGCTCAAGCTCGACTCGACTCGTTTACGCCCTAGTTGTTGTTGGAAAAGCTGATATGAAAGTGTCGTAGAGACGACTCTCTATTAACTAGAATCGGACACAAAAATTAAATTGAGTTTTCAACTTATTGAATTTGCTTTGAGATAGATTACAATATAATAATTGATTGAATAATCTTATATTACATTTGTTATAAAGCAAATTCAATGAGACGACCGCTGTTCGTTCGTGTTCGGTTCGTTTACACCCCTAATCTCCATGTCTTGACCCAATTTTTTTTCTACTATTTTGATTGGAACTCTTCAGCAATATAAATATAAGAAAATAGTAAAATAAAAAATAAAAAATAAAAACAGAGAGATTTTGCCAGGAATGCATATAATAGCATATTATTTACATAGACAAAAAGGACAATTTACATACCCTTTGCTTTCCGGTGAAGGCTTGGCCACCTGCTTGTTCAATTAAGAATGACATTGGGAAGACCTCATACAGGACACTGTTAAAAAATAGCCTTAATTAAAAACTCAAGAATAGCAAACATTAAGGATATATTTGGGATAAATTTTAATTTTTTTTTTATTATGACAAGCATGTTTATTTAGTAGAATTATTTGCATAGTTTTACCTTTTATTTTTAAAAATATATCAAACAATCAGAACAGCTTTTAGATATGAGAAAACTGCCGAATTGATCTCCCGAGTCTTTATATGGAGTCATTTTGGTCTTGGAATCTATAAAAATTTTAATTTAGTCCACAAACCTTTTTAATGTAGGCTAAAATAGTCCTTCTTGTGGTTTACTTTAGCGAATATTAAAAGATTCTAGGAACTAATGTGACAGTATTATAGACTTTAGGATTAAATTGACCCCATGTAAATAGTAAAGAGATTATTTTGAAAATTCAAAATATTTTCAACAGCTTCAATTATATTTTATTTCAAAATAAAATATAAACAAAATAAAAAGCAAAAAAAAAAAACAAAAGTGGTCCCAAATGGACCCTAAAGGCCTAAAGGAATGAAAATGTGAGAGATTTCTTAAACAAGAAACACTAACACGCACCGTAATTTCCCGTTGGGACTCTTCTCATCAGCAGGATACAAAAATACGCCTCCGTATAGAAGAGTTCGATGGACATCAGCAACCATGCTATAAAAACGAAAAACAGTAGATGAAGAAATTAATTAACAGATAGAAAGCCACAAATCCTATATTCAACATAGATTTGCAGGACCACAACCCAAAATTACAGATATTCAGATTGACAATCATCTTCACTCGATGTTCGCAGTAAAGAAAATTATTTGAATTCATGTATTTCACATGCCGGATGAAGGACCTCTTAATTTTTTAGAGAAGAAATGTAGGATAAAAAGCAAAAAACAAAAAAAATGTTTAGAGAGAGAGAGAGAGAGATTCATTCTACAAATGCAGTTTTCTTTACTAATAAAAAGCTCTCACGTTTTCTCACTTATATATATCACCACCTTTCCCTATTCATCTACACAAAAAAGCCATGAACCACATACTTCAGAGGATCATCCAAACTAGAAGTTGTGAAAAGGACGGTATGAAAACCAACAGGTAAGCCTTTGTGCACAACCTGTAATATAAATAAGGGGCGTTTACATATATACAACACAATTCTTGTGTATTTACATATCTAACAACTAAACATTTCTATTTACAAGAATACCACTCAAGTCCTTAATATCACATCAAAAATATCATCCTTGCCTACTTTTAAAGGTGAAATACACCTTTTCATACATAGGTTTATGACACCAAAGTGTGATAAATGTAAATATGAAAGTTTGGGTGTCAAATATGTAAATACTTAAGAATATGTATGTACATTACAGTTCAAGTGACGAACCCGAGATCTCCAACTATAGATGTCGAATCGCCAGAGTTCTCACATGGTCTCTTAAGTCTTGGGAAATTCTTGTTGGTTAGTGTTATGGTGTGGCTCATATACCATATAGGGACAGACGCTGGAACGAAGCGGAGCGGAGCGGAGCGAAAGAATCTGTCCAAATTGGGAAGTTACGTTATATGGGTTGGGGCTATACGGTACAGGACAGACGCTGGATCGAAGCGGAGCAGAGCGGAGCGGAAGAATCTGTCCAAATTGGGAAGTTACGTGGGTTGGGGTGCGGGGGGCAAAGCCCCGCAGTTTGGTACAGGGGTAATGTTGTAATTACATATTGTGCCTAGGTTTACTCCTGGGGTTATAAATAGGCCTGTTAGTAACCCCAGTGGTTATCCTCTATTCTGTAACCCTTTTCTGAATATTGGAAGGAACTCGCCGCTCTGCTCCCGAGGACGTAGGCATCTTGCCGAACCTCGTTAAATCTCTGTGTTCTTCTGGATTTGTGTCGTTACTGTTTTCTTCGCCCTAATTTTCTCAACAAGTGGTATCAGAGCCAAGGTTCGAGGGCAAGGAAGAAATTTCGTCGGCGGCAGGAACGACAGAGTTCTGCTAGGGCTTCGGTCAGGAAGTTTCGCCAACAGGTGAGATCTACAAACGGCAGCGGCAGATCTTGCACGACGCAGGCCCAGGTGCAGGTTCCAGGTCTTGGCATGAAGGACAACTCGGCGTAGAGGTTTCATGCGACGGCAGTTCGAGGAAGGCTGTTCGAGCGATTTGCAGGAAAGAATCGCGGAAAGGATCGCGCGACCGAAGGACGCGGCTTGGGAGAAGAAATCGCGAAGGAATCGCGGGAGGCAGGCGGCCCAGAGGAGATTCGAGAAGGAGCGGAGGCCGCACTTTGCGAACTTTCCATTGGTGGCTTTGCTGCAGAGGAAGGCGCGAACCAGGCGGAAGCGGAGAAGGAAATTTCCTTTGCTGGAAGCCTTAATTAAAAGAAATAATTAAAGGGAGAAGGAAATTTCCTTGAGCTGGATGCTTTAATTAAAGGAAATAATTAAATCGGAGAAATTTTCCTTTGCGAATCAGGCCAGATCAGACGGAAGCTTTAATTCCTTAATTATTTGCTGCAAGCCTTTTAATTAAGGGTTTTCTTTGCTTGATAAGGAGAATAAAAAAAAAGGAAATATTTATTTCTTTTCTTGAAGAGGAATTTTTTGCAGAAAATTTTTGTTGCAGGATCAAAATTGTTCACAAGGCGGATGGGCTCGCGGGAACGAACAGGTGCGAAGCAGTTCGGATAAAGGGCTACGGCAGTTCGGCGAGTTATGCTTCGGGGAGTTCGCGGTAGAGGCGGCGTCGCGATTTTGAGGCGCGACAG